TAAAAATCCACTGCATGAAGCTGGGAAGGTGAAGCATTAGGTTGCAAAGAAGAGTCAAGGATGTTTGAGAGGCCAGCACCACGGGGTATTTGCCAGAGTTGCAAACCAAGGAAGGCTGTGTGCTCTAGGCAGCAAACCACCTTTCATCTATTGAGATGTTTTGTTTCCTTGAAGTTAGTATGACAAATTACAGATATTGATGTTAAATCCCTGGGACTAATTCTGCATGACATTTTAAAATATATTGCTTAATTTGCTAATTTAAAGGATTTTCCTTCCTTTATTCACAGGGATGTCTATAATTTTGATTTTATCAGTAAAAATGCCGTATTCACAAAATACTAAAGAATATGTAAAATTAAGGCTGGAGGTATGGCTCAGCAGTTAAGAGCACTGACTGTTCTTGCAGGATCCAGGTTCAGTACCCAGCACCCACATGGGGGCTAACCACCATTCACAATTCCAGTCTCAGGGAATCAGACACCCTCTTCTGACCACCTCCAGCACTGCATGACACAGGTGCACTTACATACATATAGGCAATACTTATAGACAAAATACTATGTAAATTTGGCTCAATTCCTCATTTTTTACGATCGTGTGTATATATGGACAAGTATGTGAAAGAAGACAATCGAAAGGAGTCAGTTCTCTCCCTTCCAGCATGTGGGCTCTAGGAACTGCACACAGGTTGTCCGTTTGGCAGTTAAGTACTTTGCTCCACTGAGCCATCTTGCAGCCCAATTTCATTCATTTCATAAAATTTACAAAAGCCTTTCAAATACTTTCATAGATATTAATGTTCTCCATTTTTCTTTTTTGGTCCCCCCCTCCATTTTCTTTTGAACACAGCTTTATCAAAATACAATTCACTTATTCAACTCACCTATTATGGTTGAATAATATTCCATTACATGGACATAGCACATTTTGTTTACCCATTTACCAGATAGGTGTTGGAATATTTCTAAGCTATGAGTAACACTGCAGCAAACATTCATGTACAATGTATGTATGTGCTCGCTTTCAGTTCTCTTGCATTTATACTTAGTTACGACTCTCTGCTTAACATTTTGCAGAACTGTCAGACTTCTTGAGTGACTTTAGAAATTATTTCCTTCTTTCAACTTCTTTTAGGCCTTCTGTTGGCTTTGTCCATTTCTAGTTTCTCAAGACGTAAGCTTAGATCCTTGTTTCAAGTCTTTTACACATATTTTATATCATACTTTAAGCAGTTTCTACAGCTGTATCCCACAGGTTTCAAGTTTCTCTGAATGTTTTCTCATTTCCTATGATTTAAGACACCCGAGATCTTTAGAAGTGTTAATTTCCAGATATAAAGATATAGTAACAAGTGTTTTTGACTGTATTGTGCCCAACATTCGGGGTACTCTTGTGTGTGACAGCCAGAGAGAGAGAGACAGAGAGAGAGGGAGACCGAGAGACAGAGACAGACAAAGACTGACTCTTACTATGCAGCTCAGGTTCGTTAGCTTGGAACTTACTATGCAGACCAGGATGGTCATGAACTCAAAGATCCCTCTGTATCTGCCTCCCGAGTGCTGGGATGCTGGGATTAAAGGTATGCACTACTGGAATGCCTGGCTAGCAGATGTTTTAACAAAACATTTGAGGTATTACTGACATAACAAAAAAACTGTATACACATAACTTGAGTTTGAAGTACAATATCCATGAAGCAATCACATTATAAAATATTCATCAAAATATCCCGTTTCTTCTACCCTCTTTATTATCTTGTGATCAAGAACACATACATGAGATTTACCCTTAGCAAACTTAAAGTATATAGTATGGTATCAACAAGGTAATATTCTGTACAGTTAATCAGTGCCTGGCTCATTCGATGTTACTTTAAGGTACAAATCTAGTATAAGGGAATGAGATTAGGCATATGAAAATATTTTTAAACTATCAGGGCTGGAGAGATGGCTCAGTGGTTAAGAGCACTGACTGCTCTTACAGAGGACCCAGGTTCGATTCCCAGAAACCACATGGTGGCTAACAATCATTTGTAACTCCAGTCCTAGGGAATCCAATGCTCTCCTCTGACCTCCTCAGGCAATGCACGACATGGGTGCACTTACACACATGCAGTCAATACACTCATACACACAAAATAAAATTTTTAAAAAATTTAAATCTATCACTAAGCAAAAGTACATCCATATTTTCCTAAACGCTTATAAGCATCTCAGTGTTTTCCTTAAGTCTTTTAACACTTGGTGGGGAGCAGTTAATGGAGGTCACTCTTAGATATCACCAGATATGCACTATTATGATACTTTTAAATTATACCTACAGAAATGCAGTTTAGAATGGAATAAGCTACAGTCTAGAGAAACAAGTATGTTTGATGGAATCAGAACTAAAATGCATAGCTTTTGATGCGTACACTGAATTTTATGACTTTCCAACCTTATCGGACTTTTAGACCTCATTAATACTTGAGCCAATGTTAATTAATACAAGTCAGTGTAGGGAATGTTTCCTTCCATTAAGTTCTTTATGAAGTTAAAGCAAGCTCAAGAACTAATGTTTGTTCACTTTTGTAAAGGAGACTTTCAGCCAGCAAGGGATGGTTGTATATGCCTGTAATGCCAACACTGGAAAGGTGAAAAGACCATCAGGAGTTCAAATCCAATCTCAGCTATATAATGAGTTGCAGAAAACCAGTCCTACCTCCCCAAGAGTCCTTCACATCTGTTCTACCTCTAATAGAATTTTAACACAGGCAGGAGTGAAGAGAGAACTCACTGGTCAACCAACAGTGTTTGCTGCTCTTCCAGAGGACCCAGGTTGGGTTCCCAGCACTCATGTCAGGAAGCTTGCAATCACCTGCAACTCAAGCCCCAGGGGATCAAACACTCTCTTTAGACACCACTGGTGTAGGTACATAGACACACACACACAGACACATACAAATGAACAAAAATAAGTCTCTACTGGGTGTAGTGATTTATCTAATCCAAGCACTCAGAAGACAGAGAAATGGACAACTTTATGAGTTAAAAGGCCAGCCTGGTCTACATGGAGTTCCAAGCCTGCCAGGGCTATGTAATGAGGCCTTATCTCAAAAATCAAAACAAAACAAAAAAATATTTTACTTACCTTTAGAGGCCATGACCCTCTAACTTGATCATTACTATATCCCCAGAGCTTAACAGACAAGGTGTTTAATAAACTCTTAGAAACCATTTACAAAGTGATACATAGAACTGAGTTTTCTTCAGTATAAAAAGTCTGCAAAAATCTTTTAAAAATGATTTCTGGGGCTTGAGAGGTGGCAGTGATTAAAGAGCATTGGCTACTCTTGCAAAGGAACCAGGTTCAATTCCCAGCACCCACATGGCGGCTAACAACCATCCATAAACTTCAGTTCCACCTCTTCTGACCTCTGCAAGCATTGCACAACACAGGCTGCACAGCCCTGCATGTAAACAATACACTCATACACATAAAAAAATTTTTAAGTAAAAAATGAAATGACTTCTGATATTGACAATACAGTTTCTCAAAGACAGGCTAACTATATTAAGTTCCAGAAGTTTGGTTGAAACAAAAACATTTCAATCAAATATCCTGCTAAAGTTACAGTCATTTAACACTGCTTTAACTTATACTTAGTTCAGAAGTTTTGATTTTTTGAGAACATAAGTAAATATCTAATTCAATGTTCAGAAAATTCCAAAACATTCAATAGTGTCTTTTCAAAGTTAGATTTAAACTTGCATCAAAAATATTGAATGCCCACAATTCTTCAACTGTCAATTCTAGGCTGTATAAGTAGCAAGTACTTCAATTTAATTTTCTGCTTGAAACTATTTCTGAATCAGACTTAGATTATGAGGTTATGTCAGGAGTACACCCTCTCTTTGACTACCCACTTTGGAAGAACATAGATGCTACTTGTTAGGCAGCACTATGGATAAGGAGGGCTAAGAGTCATGTGAGTGAACTGAAGCAGCCCCTTAAGCTGGTCAAGCTGTTATGGCTGATAGCCTGATGGTAAAACTAGGAGGTTGTAAGTCAGAATCAACTGAATAAGCAACACACTGCTTGACTGGGAAGTTTGGGCTATAAAACATCTGTTGTTTTAAGCTTGTTAATGTTGGAGTGATATGGTAACTAGGAAATGCAGAACAGATTTTTTTTTTTTTTTTTTTTTAAAGACAGGGCCTTCCTGTAGTCCCAGCTGGCCTGGAACTCCCTAGGTAGACCAAGCTAGCCTCAATTTCACAGACATCAGCCTCTCTGCCTCTCAAGTGCTAGGATAAAAGGCATGTACCACCACACCTGGCAAGATGATTGTTTCTTAAGTAGAATGAGGAAAATTCTAATTCAGATAATCTTCATTACAAATACTAAGCACTGTAAACTCTGTTAAGTATTAGAGAAAAAAATTTTCTAAACTCACTCAACTACTAAACTCATTCCAAACAAGAGGGTGAGGAACAGGCATGATGGTACACAAGCCTTTAAGTCTTAAGAAGTTTCAGACCAACCAGAGATACATAGTGAAACCTTATCTCAAAAATCAAAAAAAGTGGGAAGGGGGATTAGAATATGTATTATTTATAACCCATACTCCCTGCTAATTAGAACAAAACCTTAAGTGCTGACTGCTTTTAACAGTTACATTCAAATATAGTTAATAAGGCATGTCCATGGATCATTTTTTCCCTTTTACCAGGAGTAAAATATACTGGGCAACGTTGTGAATCACCTTCCAAAAGTCTCAAATTAGGGTGCCCTGATTATACCTGGAAGCCCAGTGCTCAGGAGGCAGACAGACCTCTTGATCTACGATAGCAAGTTCCAGGTCACCAGCACCAGAGCTTCATGGTGAACCCTGTCTCTCTTTTTATTTTTGTAAAAAAAAAAAAAAAGGAAAATGAAAATGAAAATGAAAAAACAGAATGGTGAAATTTCAGCATAACAGTGGGTTTCCTGGCATTTACATAGACATCACAGATCACTACCAGAACATGACATAAGTTTATTTCAGATGTAACAGCAATGTTAAAATTGACAAGTGTAATTCTTAACTGCACCAAGTAAACTTAGCCATTTAAGTATTTTTAGTTATTCCCTCCGAAAACTGAGGGAGTTTTTCTTTTCCACCACTACACACCACTGTTTCCCAATAGTTCTTTTTTTGGAGGACTTTCAATGAATGAGTAAACTGCTTTGGAGATACTCAGAAACTCCTTTCTCCAAATGGAAATTAATCTTGACAAATTATATATTGCATAGATTTCTCTACGGATTTTTCTTTAGAACTTAAAGGCAAATAGCATGCAGAGTAATTTTAACCTATTTACCCCAGGGTAAAAACTATCTGTCCTGAAAAATATGGATATAGCCTGTTATCTTCCAGTTAATAGAATTACGATTTTACTTCAAAGATTATTTTTATTAAAAAAAAAAATTCAACATGGTACATTACTTACTTTAGTCTTTACTGATTCACAGGCAAATGGATGAGAGCCCAGTTCCTACCTCTTCCACAATTTCCCTTATGTAAGTGGATGGAATCATTTAATGCAAGTTTGCTAGAGGACAGTTGACCCTTTACACACACTTAAAATTTAGGTTAAAGCACTGAGTAGTGTGGAAAAAGAAACTATAATGATAGGGAGCCTATATACTCAATTCAAACTTATTGTTTTTTTTTTTTA